CTCAGTGGGAAGGGCCAGCAGCTCAGAGCACACTCCAGGAATGCCCTTCTCCCTGCCAGCCCCTTCAGAAGCTGTCAAAGTTTGATTTGATTAGTGCCTAATTAGCAGAGCCACTCTGGTCACATGCACAGGGCCCGTGAGAGGACAGAGGACAGGCCATATGGCAGTGCCTTAACCCTACTAAACACACTCACAGAGGAGGAAATGCCACTTTACCTCCAAGGAGTACAGGTATCCAGGGTTCTCGTGCATCAGGTAAGGCCACCAGAGGTTTGGGTTGAGGACTTTGAGCTCTCCCACTGGGCCATCACCCGTAGCAACCACCTTCCCCTCTTGGTCACGTAAACTCAGGGACAAGGAACTGGCTGTGCTGCCAACCACTGCCACCTGATACTGCACCGTGGCTGGCTCAGAGGAAACAAACGACAATCAGAGACTGCAAGAGACAGCTCAGCCTCAGGAAAAGCCACTGGGAATTCAATCAATCAGATTGAAAATTCAATCAGACTCATGCAGGACATTTTCCCTGCTGCCCTTGGCATCTCCACTTGGAGCCTGAGGGAGCTGCTGTGACTGGACCTACCAACAGTGTCTGATGAAGTGGTTGTCACAGTGATGTCATCGATGTAGGCAGCAGGAGTGGTGTACAGCACAACAGGGCGGTGAATCCCAGCATAATTAAAGAAATCAAACTTGGTGTCCTGCACAAAATAGTTCTTGGGGTACCTGAGTGAGCAAGACATGAGCAAGGCTGCATTACACTTCACTACACAGCTGAAGGCAGCATGTGGATGCTGGCAGTGCAAAATAATAATGTAAAATATCTTTATGACAGGCTGGATCTGTCAGATGTTACACTGAAGGATTTTGCAGTTAACAAAGATCTTCATCCTTCAGGAGAGCTGGTACTTGCAGCTCCCAGCTGAATCCAAGCTTCTGAAACCTGCCCTGGATTCACCTTGGCAAATCACCCAATCTGAGCCCCCCGTGCACAAACAGATGCAATAACTCACTGCTGATTCCTCACAACACCACAGCTTCAACTCCTCACAGCTCCACCAACAAATCCACCACAAAGACAACCCCACTGAGGGATGTCTGAACCAGCAGCTGAACAAACCCCCTCTCCCACACCCCTGGGACGAGCCCAGCAGCAAAGCACCCCAGAACTCACCTTGATTTGTCAGCCATGTAGCGGATGGAGCCCGGGGGCAGCGTGTGGGGGGTCAGGGTGTTGTTGAGGGCCACAGTGATGCGGCACAGGGTGCCTGGGCTGCCCTGCACCACGCTGCTGATGTCAGCCTCAAAGGGCAGGTGCCCCCCTTCGTGCTCCACCACCTGCACCCCGTTCACCCACTGCAAGGAAAGACACAAAAATGGCTCATGGGGACTCTGTGGTCAGCAGAGAACAGGGAAGTCCAGTTACAAGGAACACCTGGGCTCGTGATCCTCAAAGGGTCTTTGAGGGATCAACCTGCTGCCACGATATTTTATGAAAAATCCTTTGCTAGGATTTTTTTCTCCTATTCTAGCTGAGAAGCCTCAGAAAAGAAATGTAAACAATGACCTATCTGATGGCTGTGGAATGTTGTCTGGACATTGTTTACCAACAGGTGCACCTTTGATTGGCTCATGTGAGTTGTTTTTACTTAAAAACCAATCAAAGATGCAGCTGTGTCAGACTCTGAGGGCCACCAGCTTTTGTTATTTATTCCATTCCTTTTCCTTCCCAGCTTTCTGGTGGATCCTTTTTCTCTCTATATCTTAGTATCGTTTTAGTATAGCATTTTAATATAATATAATATCATAATATAATAAATCAGCCTTCTAAAACATGGAATCAAGATTCTCCTCTCTTCACTCATCCTGGCATGCCCGAACATCACCATATATCAACCTTGACCCTCAAAGGATCTTTGAGGGATTCCCTTTGCTGGGAGCTAGGTGTGGGTCACACCAAGTGTCACTGAGGGTCACAGTGTGGGGCAGATCCATTCATCAGGAAATGTTCAGTTACCAATCCCAAAACTGCAGGATCAGAGAAACTGGGATTCATTCGGGGGGAAAAGGGGCACGAGCTCAGAAGGGGATGCACAATCGAGGCAGGGACGCATTTACTGAACAAACCATCAAACTGCCTTTAGCCCAGACTAATTTAGGAAGCACAGGGCCAACGCCCCGAGGCACGCACCACGATGGAGTAGTAATGGGCGCTCCCAAAGCGCAGCACCAGCCTGGGGGCGGGATCGCCCTGCAGCCAGCGCAGGGGGAGCAGCACCTCCTTCTCGTACCACACCCAGCCGATGTAATTCTCCAGGCTGGGGTCCTGCGTCATGTCGTTGAAGCTGGCAGGCACTGGCATGTCAATCACAGGGCCGGTCTGGCAGGAATTGCGTGGAAAAAGGAAGGAACAGAGAGTTTAAAAAGAGGAGTTTTACTACTGGAGGTGTCCCTTTCCACTGACAGCCCTACAATGCCTCTGCCAAGGGGAAATGCTGTTTGAAAACTGCTGAGATCTCTCACAGCTCCTGTACAAGCCCTAATTAGCACCAGGCACAGGAACCTGCCTGTTCCTACAGGAAACAGCTGCTCCTTTCTTTTCCCCTCCTGCTGTACAATGAAATGTTTTCGTTAATGGCCCTGGCATCATGGAATCAGAGAAGTGAGGAGGGAAAACCCAAGCCCAGATTGTTGTTTCAGTGGGAATTCTCTCCTTCACAGCTCCAGAGCAATGTGGGGGTTGTGGTGCTGTTTGTCAGCTAAGAGCTGTAGTTAAAGAGTAACAAAATAATAGATATTTTGGGCAGTAATGAATATTTAGGGATATTTTTCTCCTCACGGAGACTGTTTGGTATCAGCCCAGCCTTTCTCACTGCATGAAACAACAGAGATTCCTTGAGAATCCATTCAGTTGCTTATTCCAATATGAAGATTAGAGGGAGGCAGTGTCACAGTACATTGAAAACTGAGGAATTCAGATGCTGTTGCCAAGCTGTTAATTTTCAGCACTTTCTGCCCTCAGGATGTTGCACAAAGGGGTTCTGCAGCTTCTCCTCTCCCGAGGAAGCCTCAGGAAATGGAATGAGGAAGGTCTGAGCACCCGGGGTGGGCATCATGTGCGTGGCTGACTCAGCTCTGGCACTGCAGAGAGCCCAGTGCCCTCATCAGAAATTCCTAGTGGGAAAATCCTTGCATGGGCAAGAGGATTTTCTATTACCTGATGCAGGAAAACCCTTGCCTGTGCTGGCCAGAACCTGTGTGTCCTTCAGGGAGATTCTCTGAGCTCTAAAACAGGTGGAGTGCACTCATCTAAGCCTCTCTTTGAAGGGGCAAGATCAGGATTGCTCTCCTCTGCAAAACTTCCAGCGGCACAGTGCCCTCCAGCTCTTCTCTCCTTCCACAATCCAGCAACAAAATCAGACAAAAGGCTAAAAACAGAAATAATGAGCGACTTATCCATTTTATGCAGAAAATCCCTAACTCCTTTACGTGATCTCAGTCACATCAAAACTTTTCTACCAGCACTCTGAAACTGGAATAAACAATTCCCAGTGCCCTTCCAGGCACATTTGTGCCGATTCTGCTGCAGGCTCAGCGCTCTGCAAGGCTCCTGCAGCACGGGACACCTGGAGGTGAACGGGGCTCACCCAAAGGGTGTCTGCCTCCGGAGCAGCACCGGGGCATCACCAGGGGCTGCTGATTAGGAACTGCCCCAAGAACAACCCGGGCAGGGCCAGCAGCGTGCGGAGAACGGCAGCGGCTCCGCCAGCCCGGTGGGGAAGAAGGCAGGGAAAGAGGAAAAGAGGAAGAAAGAAGAGGAGCCCCAGCAGCGGAGTCCGGTTCGGAGGGGAAAGAGCGCAGCCCGTGCGCGGCGATGGGCAGCGCCCGCCCCGCTCCCCGCTACCTGCCGGAGCGGCCGCCGGTACCAGCGCTGCGCGAAGCCGGCGTCCCTGCCCGGAGACAGATCGGCGCGGAAGCTCCAGAGGCCGCCGAGCTCCCTGCGCTCGCGGGAGGGGGTGTCCCGGGGCTGCAGCATCCCGGCGGGACCGGCCGCCAGCCTAGGGAGGAACGGGAGGAACAGCAGCAGCACCGGCAGCGTGCACGGACCAGCCGCGCCGCCGCCTGAGGCCGCCAGCGCCATCTTGGCTGTGGGCAGGGCCCGCTGAGGGAGAGGGGCGGGGCTGAGGGAGAGGGGCGGCCGGTCGCGATTCCTGTCGCGATCCCGATGCCTGTCACGATCCCTGTCACTGTCCCTATCCTGATCCCTGTCATGGTCCCGGTCCCGATCCCGCACCAACGGGATGAGCGACTGCAGAGCCCCACAGGGGCAGTGTCCGGTCCCACGGTCGCCTCCGGACAAAGCCACGAGTGTCCCGGCGTAAAGGCGCCTCCAGGAAATTTCAGGCTCCGTCCTGGATAGCTGGATTTCATCTAGAGGCGAGTGGTCTCCTCCCTTCCTCTCCCCTTCCTTCCCCTCCCCTCTCTTCCGTCTTATTTATTACTTAGGGGTTTAAATGTATTTATCGCCTAGTTTTACTTATTTATTCATTTGCTTACTTATTTACACTATTTATTTATTTATTTATTTGTCACAGGAGCATTTAGGTTGGAAAAGACCTCTGAGGTCACCAAGTCCAACCTGTGACCCCCCGGCACCCAGAGCAGGGCACTGAGTGCCACATCCACTCTTCCCTTAAACCCCTCCAGGGATGGTGATTCCAGCTCCCTGCACAACCCGTTCTGATGTCTGGTCACCCTTTCTGGGAAGAATTCCTCCTGATGTCCAACCTAAACCTCCCCTTAAACGCAGCTTAGGTTTATTATTGTTGCTTGCTTAATTTTGGTTATTTCTTTATTGCCTGCTTGCTTACTTCTATTTACTCTTGTTGAAGTGTGAAGGTTAAAAGTTATTGGAAATGACAAAAGGGGTGCTGGTGGCTTCTTGGGGGGAAGAGGGAGGGTGAGCTCTTGAAGAACCAAGACACAGGAGCAGCATTTCAGTGAACCAGACACTTCAGTGTTTATTAACTCCAGATCAGTGGCACGGGATCTCTCCCCACACTCTAAGCCTGTTCCTTGAGCCTCTTGAGCAGCTCCCGCAGCTGCTCGATCTGGGCGGACACGCTGCTCTTGGCGGTGCCGCCCGCGGCCGTGTACTGCTCCACGCTGCTCACCACGCTGAACACCTGCGCCACGTCGCTGCCAAACAGGGGGCTGGGGGCACAGGGGCTGTCAGGGGGCTCTGGGCCGCTCCCCCTGCCCAGTGCCTGTGCAGAGGCTGAGGGAGTGAGGACGGAGCCTTTTCCCCAGGGGAAACGCTCCTGAGCTGCTGCTGCCTGACATCAGCTCCAAGGGGACACCGAGGAACTTCAGAGCCAAAGTCTGGGGGCTTCCTGCTCAGGGCAGAGGTGTCTCCCAGCCCCTCCCAAGAGCTCCTGCCCATGCCCACGCCCATTCCACCCTGCTGGAGTGGAATGGAGGTGATGTTGTCCCCCTGCAGTGTTTCAGCCCCAGCAGGAGCAGCTGGGATATTCAGGACAGGAGGATGTTGAGGTGCTGCCCAGCCCAGCCACTTTGGGGAAGGCAGATGAGGGAGGCTGAGCCCTGCCTGTGCAGGGAAGTGAAATAACAGAGGTACAAACCTGATGCTCTTCAGGTCCTCCAGGCTGAGATTGTTGATGGTGATGCCTTTGGTCTCAGCCAGCTGGACGGCCTTGCCAGAGGCCACGTGGGCTTGTCTGAAGGGCATCTGCAGGGGGAAGGGGACAGAGCAGAGGGGACTCAGCTCAGTTCCTCTGCGTCCAAAGAAATCCCAGCTCCTGCTCTCACTCTGGCACTTACTCCCTTCCGGACCAGGTAGAGAGCCAGGTCAGTAGCCAACATCTCCGGGCTCAGCGCCCTCTCCATGCTCTCCTTGTTGATCTGCAGGAGGAGGATCCCAGGGACACGTTACCATCAGCTCCTCCTTGGGGCATGTTAGTGGCAGGGTGTGGGGAATTCATCTGGAGCTCTGAAAGAATGCTCTGAGCAGCTGGCAGAGGGGACCAAAATGAGCAGTGTGGGTGAGGCACTGAAGAGCTTTTATTTGGGAACAATATGGAGCTCTGTTACTCACAGAATATGCACCATGATAATGTTGAATAATGAGAGGATGAGAAGAATCCTTACCTGGAGGGTGGAAATTGCTCCTGTGGCGACCTGGAGCACAGCATTCACGGTGTCTACGACATCAAAGACAGCCTCCTTGTCCTCCTGTGTTGGAACAGCGATGGAAATGGCTCTGAGCCAGCCTGAGTGCAGCCCAAAAACCCCCAGGCTAAGCAGCCCAGCTCTGCTGACTCTTCCAGCCAGCAGGAGAGATGCTGTGGAGAGGAGCAAGGGCTCTACCTGCAGGTCCTTGTTGTAGGTGCTCGGGAGTCCTTTGAGGACCATCAGAATTGCAGCCAGCTGCAGAGGGAACAGGAGAGGCAGGGAGTGAGGTACAGAGCAAAGCACAGCCCCAGGGCAGCTCCAGAACCCACAGCTCTTTACAAAGAAAAGGCAAGAAGAAGGAGATTCTCCAGCCCCAAGAGGAGCAGTTTCCTCTCCCTCCTCCTTCTCCTTTTTGGGGCTCACCCGTCCGAACACTCGCCCGGCTTTGCTGCGGATCAGCTCCAGACTGTCGGGATTCTTCTTCTGAGGCATCAGGCTGCTGCCAGTGCTGGATGGGACGTGAGTGGAGTGCACTGGTGAGCAAAACCCTCATCCATACACACACACATCATCACTGACCCAACCCCACAAAAGCAATGTGTAGGACCCTCTTCACTGTACTCCTCTTTAGAGTGTAGGAAATCAGTGAACTGACTGAGTTGCTCTTTGATTTTGCACCTTGTCTGGAGCTCCCACACAGTCCCACCTCTCACAGAGAAACTTAAAACTCCCTCCATGAAGTCTCACCTGCTGATACTACCCTGGAGGGTAGTATCAGCAGGAGAGACTTCATGGAGGGAGGGCTGTGGCTGTGCCACCCTGCAGACAAGGAGTCTGTTGGGATTGCAAACCCAGCCACGCAAGGAAGGGCTCTGGCAGCATTCCCAGCACAGGAGGAAGTTCTCTCTGCCAGCAGATCCTGGACAGGAGTTGTTGGTGAATGCAAACTTGGTTAAGTTACAAGAATGACAAATAAGTGACCATTGCTGAGGAATATTCACCCTGAGGCTGCCTTTGTGCCAGGCTCTTGATGCTGGCTCAGCCTCGTGCACAGACAGACCCCAACCACTGCCTCACCCAGCATGGGGAGCTGAGGGGGAGAGGCTGAGGGAGGAGCCCTCTGCCCAGAGCTGAGACCTACCTGTAGGCATCAGAGAGGGTGAGGAAGCCAAACTCGCTGGTGCTGTAGATGATGAGATCCTCAGCCATCTTGCTGAGGTGGATCATCAGCAGGGTGGCAGCAGAGAGGAATTCCACTGCAGGGAAGGCAGGAAGTCAGGAGGGGAAAAGGTGCTTGGACAACCCAGGGAGCCCTGAGTGGGGCTTTAGTTCCTAGTGATGGATGTCAGATCCTTATTAAGGAAGGGTGACTGCAAAGGTGTCAGGAGCTGCTTTCCCCCTGTGCTGGGAAGCTTTGGCTGTGCTTACCCACAAAGTCCCTCTCGCTGACGGCATCCATGCTGTTCAGGCTGATGGAAGCAAAGTCCAGCTCTGCAAGGAAGGGGATGGACACAGGAGGTCACACTGGCCCTGGCAGGAGCCTGAATGCACCAGGCTGCCCCAGAGGAGGTGACTTTTTACCTATTCATTACCCTCCACCCCCTTGCTTATGTGCTGCAACACATCCAAAATAACATTAGGACAATGTGCTGATGCTTCCTAAAATCCCAGATATTATGAGTAGTCCCAGGGGGACATTTACCACTGCACAGCAGCTCTCTGTCTATTCCCAGGGGGTTTCCAGCCAGAGCTCCGCTGCCAGGGGAGAAAGAAACAGAAGTCACCCATGAGACCCCAAGTACTACCAGAGCAAAACTGAGCTCTAGTCATGACACCTCTCTGAAGATTTCCCTCCTCCAGTTCACTTTGATTTCACACTGTGGTCTGAGGCTCATCAAACCCTGAACTCTGGACTAAACCAGATTTTCTCTCCCAAACAGGAAGATTTGCTTAATGGAAGCCTTGTAATCCTTGATTTTTCAAGAAGGAATGAAAAAATATTTGTATGGTGAATGTCTTTGGAGAGGCAAGCTGGGCTGCAGTGTTTATGGAAGAGAAACCCCAGTGGCTCACGGGATGGACAATCTGCCTCTTGTCTTTATCTCAGAGCAAAGTGAAGGCTGAGGGTCACAATAAGAAATAAACTCTACCTTCCCAAAGGCAAGACATTGATCCTCCTCTTCACCTCTCCCAGGCGCTCAGAATCACGGGTCAGAGCAACAGCATGGCTGGGGAAGGACAAGAGAGATGAAGCCAGAAAATGGAAAGTGGGAGAAATGGCCAAAGGATGGAGAACAGGGACTTGCCCAATCCATATTTGGATTCCCAGCTGGTCAGAGCCACACAGGGAATTCCTGTTCCAGTTTGCAGGGCTCCCTCTGGTTTGTCACCAGCCCTGGCTGTCCCCTCAGCAGAGCAGGGCCCCGAGGGTGCAGAGGGTGGGAGGTGCTCACCTGAGCAAGAACTGGCTCCATCGGATGGGCTGAGCTTTCTGCAGGTGGGTGTAGCCAGGCAGGATCACATCGATTTCTCTGGGAGGGAAAGGACAGAGAGGTGAGCAGCAGAGGCAGCAGGGAGGGCAGGGACCGGTCTGTAACTCCCTGCACAGGAGATCCTGCAGCTGCACAGTCACACAACAAGCCTAGGAGTGTCCTGCCCCAAAAAGGCCAAAGTTATGGAAAATAGGGACTGAGGAAAAGGACTCACATGGCAGCACGTTCCACCAAGGCTTCAATGAGCCGCAGGAGGTGCATGGAGATGATGGAGAGGGAGTTCTTCATGAACAGCTTCAGGTCAGTCACAACCTGTGGGGGATTGGCCACAGCCAAGCACAGCAGGACAGATTTAGTGACCAAATATTGCTCAGCACAACCCCCTGGCACTGTTATCCCCTCCTGGTGCTGTGTGATGGGAAGGGAAATCTTCCTCCTGTGGGATGTATCCCTGGTCACTGATTTGTGAAAGCTGCTGTTGCTTTCCATGGACAGAACCAAAATCTGTTATTTTTGGTTGTCTTGTCAGGTATTGTCAAATTTGAAGCAGAAAATTCCCAACCAACACAAGTTGATCATCCTGAGGAAGACTGATCCTGAAAGATGTGTGCACCCAGCCAGCAGAGTCAGGGGTTCTGGAGGTTTTCAGAGATGTCAGTGGAATGTTGTGGCCTTTTACCAGCAGGATGCAGCCTTGCAGATCCCACTCCCCTGGGTGGATGAGTCACTGCAGCATCATTAGTTTAAAGCCATCATTAATTTAAAGGGAATACAGGTTGGAGTGTGTCAGGGCGTGAGAGAGATGGCATAAAAATATTGAATTAATGAATTGAGGTGGAGGAATACAAAAGAAGAAGAAAATATTCTGTCCATACCTGATCATTCCTGCTTCTGCCAGTGTGCAACTTCCCAGCTACGTCTCCAATCAGCTCCTGAGGACAAGAGCAGGATTTCTGTCAGCATCTCTGTGTTCTAAACAGGACAATCCACATGAGCACATCTCCCTGCCTGGAAGGGACTCAGCTCCAGGATCCTGTGAGTAACCTGGGGTGTGTTCTGGGGAAGGGCAGCTTTGGGTTCTGTGCTTGTACAGTGCCACAAAAGGGGGCTTGGAGACCCTTGGCTGTGCCCCAGGGGCTTCAGTGCCAGCAGCTCTAAAGGGATTTCCCAGAGGGACAGAGGGACAAGCCCTTAATGTCAGGCAGAGGGTCAGGAACAAGAGGCTGGAGGAGCCAAACCTTCAGCCTGCGCTCGTTGGCAGTGTGGATATCCTCATCAGTTGGTTTCAGCACAAAGACTCCCTTGGACCATTCCTCAGAGATCTGCAAACAGCACAAACACCAGTCAGCCACAAGAGTTATTAAATTCAGGGAGGCTGCTCTCAGGTCAGGAGCCATTCATTCACCTGACAGTTGTTGAAGGAAAGAAATACCTTTTCCAGGCCACCCAGGATCTTCTCCAGTTCAGTTTTTGACAGGATCCCAGACTTTTCCAAGGCTTTGGCATAAGCCATGCTCCCCTGGATGTCCACCTCAGACAGCCTCTGGTCATAGCTGATGGAAGCATTGAGCATCTCCATGATGGGATCTGTGCTTCCACTGAATCTTCCACCCCAAAGTTTATTCCCCTGAGAGAGAAAATAGCTAATTAAAGAGGCCTAATGACTCCAGATAAATCCTGTGCAGTAAATAACATCCTGTAGTTCATTTATCTGATACAGAATCCATGCTCAGCTCCTTTCAGTGTGACAGCACTGACCAGAAAGTCCCCTGGACTTCAGGAGCTCTGGCAAGTGGTTGAAGAGCTGGAGAACACATCACTGTCAGTGTTATTTACCCCTGAGCTCCGAGGTCTGGCCCAGGAATCCTCCAAGATATTTTACATCTGCAGGACTCTGCTGGGAGTCCTTGAAATTGATATCAGGGAAAGATGCAAGACCAGCAGAGATTTCTGTATTGAGGCCTTATAAAGGAAGGAAAAACCAAACAGTCAGTAGGATTAAAGTGAAATTAATATCCTCTAATCCTTTTTATCAGTCTTCTTTGATTGACAAAGAGCTGTGGGCCAGCACAGAAACAAAAGTGGGGTTTTCCCATCCAAGCCAGGATTCCTGTGGTGACCTCACCCCCTGGAATGTGTCACCCACTTCAGGGAGTGACCAAAGGCTTGTGCAGGGTTCCAGCTGTGCCCACAGCAGGGTGTGTGTTGTGTGGGAGCTTCTCCAGCAGTGATTCAGAGCCTGGCTGGCCTCACCTGAGCTGTGTCAGCTCAGAACATTTTTGCTTGCCCAGGTAAGACAATCCAAGAAGTTTTCATTCTGCCAGGCTTGCACTGAAGTGGGTAAGAATTTTACTTGGGCAATTTATCCAAGATTTCTAAAGCAACTTTCCAGTGCTACCAGGCACAAAAAGGAATTACAGGACACCTGAAGGAAGGGACTAAATACAGCGGCATTGCAGAGTGGATAATTACTAATCTACTTGATTTTTTAAACACCACTGGCAAGTTTCTTCTCATGCTGGTCACTGTAACTACCATGGACAGCAAGGAGCTGGCAGGACAGATGGAAGCTGATCTGTGCCAGGGCTTTACCAGCCAGACAAAACACTTTAAAATGTTTTCCCTGGTGACTGTTTCCATGTCCCTGTGCCTGAAAGGACAACAGGACAGAGCCTGCAGGGGTGAGGGTGTAGCCATGTGTAAAAGGCAGTTTTGTTAGAAAGCTGAGGGAAGGCAGAGAGGGGAATCAGAATTGAAAAAGAACTGTTAGAGCTCCACAGTACTCATTTGGTGCACCCAGGACCAAAATTAATGCTAAATTAAACACCATTCCAGAGGCTCAGCACTTGACTGGGGACCAGGACTATCCAGTATTTAAAGCTTCCCATCAAAGCAAAAAGGGTGTCAGCAGAAACATTGCAACATACACATTTACAACCCAGAAATCAAAGCTGAAAGGTTCATTTTAGGCATCTCCAGGACTCTTCGGAGCAGTGGCTGTGCAGCCTGGCAATGACAAACACTGCTTGAAACATGGAACAGATTTGGAGAGCAGAAAGTGAACTCGCCATGATGCCCGGTCACGTCTGGGTGGGGAAGGAAACTGAAAATGCAGCTTTTGTGCCGAGCAGTGTTTATTTACACAAGCTGCTGGGAAGTGCCCGAGCGCGAGTCCCAGGCACGAGTATCGGCCTTTCCCAGGAGACGCGGAGGCCCCGGGACAGCCCCGCTCGGCTGAGCACCCCCGACACCCCCGGGGAAGCAAAGTTCGCTCACCTCGGCTGCTGCCATCGCGGCCGTGCTGGCTCCGTGTGCGCCGTGCCCCAGCTGCGGGGACACTGCGGGGACACTGCGGGGCGGCTCCGGGCACCGTCCCGCTCCTGGTCCTGCTCAGTCACGACCCCGATCCCAGATCCACTCCCGGTTCCGATCCCAGCTCCAATCCCGGTCCCCGTCCCAGCTCCGGTCCCGATCCCGATCCTGCTCCCAGTCACGATCCCAGCTCCGTTCCCAGTCCCGGTGCCGATCCCAGCCCCAGCTCCGGTTCCGATCTCAGCTCTGTCCCGATCCTGATCCCAGCTCCAATCCCTGTCCCAGCTCCACTCCCGGTCCCAGCTCCAATCTCGGTGCCGATCCCAGCTGCAATCCTGGTCCCGATCCCTGTGCCAGTACCGATCTCAGCTGGATTCCTGGTCCCGATCCCAGCCCCGGTCCCGATCCCAGCCCCGGTCCCGATCCCAGCTCCAATCCCGGTCCCAGCTCCAATCCTGGTCCCGGTCCCGGTCCCGCTCCAATCCCGCCGCGCTCCCGGCGCTCCCGCAGCTCGTCCCGTCCCGCCCGCCGGGGCGGGGAGTTCCCGGGCCAGCCCCGCTCCTGGCCCTGCTGTGCAGTGGCACGGCTTGTCCCAGTGCCTCACAGCACACTCAGGAACGGCATCCCCGTTTTCTTGTCCCCTTTCGGGGTTTGCTGTCCTTTAACCAGCCCCGGTGTCGTAATTCAGCCGGGAAGGAACCTAATCCGGGTCCTGGGGTCCTTGTCTGGAGCAGCAGGACGCTGCCAGTGACACCCAGCTGCCTCTGGCGGCCCCACAAGGTCCTTTCGCAGCTGGATTTCCCGTGAAGTGCCCTCAGTATCCATCTGCAGCAAGGCTCAGACTCTGTATGTAGCCACCGATTAATTCACTGTTTCTCAAACATTTCCACCCGTGATTATTTCTTTTTCCCTTTCAGACTTACAGGTCTGAGGATGCACAGACCGTCACACTGTCTACACTGAGAAAAACTCTGAACCATTTTGTTGCCAGATTCCTTCTTCTTCTGAAGTCCCTCACTTTTAAGGTTTCTTTTTTTCATGTTCATCCCTTATGGATGTCCATACTCCAGCTTTGGCAGGAGGTTGCTGAGGGTTTGGAAGAATGGTGAGCATGAGATTTACGTCCAGAATGACCCAGCTGATAATCAGCCTAAGTGAATTCCTGGCTCAAGCACCTTCCTGTGGCCTGTAATGAGCAGGGGTTTGAAACCAAAACCCAAATCCCAATGAGTGAGAGGAGGGTGATGGTGAAAGTCTGAAGACACTGTGGACCACACTGTAATGTCTGTGGAGCTCCACAGGCCCCTCCAATCTAAAATATTTCACAATTTTAAGAAAAGGGTGGATGGGTGGGGAGTACCAGTGACTGTAAACTACTTATTTAAGTAAGAGACTAAAATGTGGTAGTCTGCTGCTTCCCCTTTCCTTTCATTCTGGCCCTGTGCCACCAGCACAGGCCATGAGGGACAATGCCAGACTTTTGCTGCTGGGAGCAAGAGAAAATCTGTTCAGCTGAGGATCTGAAGAACTGGAAGATACAAACAGGAAAAAATAAGGGGAGTAGCATGGATCAAGAAAGTTTATGGGAGGAAAAAGAACTGTGAGGAAGAGATGAGGAAATCTCTGTTCTTCTGACTGCAGGTGTTGAGTATTGGTGTTACCTGTAGCTTTCTTGTTCCTTTAGCCTGGCAGCTGAGTGCGCAAAAGTGATTTCCTGGCCACGGGTGACCAGTCTGGAGAGTGAGACAAGAGCTAAAACAAGAACACAGCAGGAAGGAAGGGAGCAAACACAAAGGAGGTTTGTGGAAAGGTAATTGAAATGTGCTTTTTAAATGCCAAGTGAATGGATTTGTTTAAAGGCCAGAATAAGGAGGGATTGAGAGTGATGAGAAGTTGGAAAAAGGGAATTTTGCTGTTGCTGATCCTTCTTCCATGTATTAAAAGCACAAATGCTCCAAAGGTGCAAGCACTCTGTGTCTCTTGGGGTACTTTGGCTGGAGATTAACTGCTGACAGTTTATCCTGTGTGTGCTGCAGCCCTTGCCCCAAAGCTGGTGAGGCAACACCTTTGTTATTTTTGTTCCCTGTGTGTGTTCCAGACCTGCAGCTCTGAATCAACAACGTGTTGCTGCCTCAGCATGGGGAGAAGGGGCTGAGCAAAACTCCAGTTTTGCAAGGCTGAGGTGGGAAAGGAATTTTGCTGGGTAAAAAGAGACAATCCCCATCTGCCAGCCTCTCCTGCAAGAGACACATCCCCAGCTGCAAGGGAGGAGAGCTCCAAACATGGGCTGAGCTCAGCCCCTCCTCACCCCGAAAAAGCAAGACACAAGAGCAGGATTTCAGTGAACTACAGACACCCCAGTGTTTATTAACTCCAGATCAGTGGCACAGGCACTCTGCTGCAGGCACGGGATCTCTCCCCACACTCTAAGCCTGTTCCTTGAGCCTCTTGAGCAGCTCCCGCAGCTGCTCGATCTGGGCGGACACGCTGCTCTTGGCGGTGCCGCCCGCGGCCGTGTACTGCTCCACGCTGCTCACCACGCTGAACACCTGCGCCACGTCGCTGCCAAACAGGGGGCTGGGGGCACAGGGGCTGTCAGGGGGCTCTGGGCCGCTCCCCCTGCCCAGTGCCTGTGCAGAGGCTGAGGGAGTGAGGACGGAGCCTTTTCCCCAGGGGAAACGCTCCTGAGCTGCTGCTGCCTGACATCAGCTCCAAGGGGACACCGAGGAACTTCAGAGCCAAAGTCTGGGGGCTTCCTGCTCAGGGCAGAGGTGTCTCCCAGCCCCTCCCAAGAGCTCCTGCCCATGCCACGCCCATTCCACCCTGCTGGAGTGGAATGGAGGTGATGTTGTCCCCCTGCAGTGTTTCAGCTGGGATATTCAGGACAGGAGGATGTTGAGGTGCTGCCCAGCCCAGCCACTTTGGGGAAGGCAGATGAGGGAGGCTGAGCCCTGCCTGTGCAGGGAAGTGAAATAACAGAGGTACAAACCTGATGCTCTTCAGGTCCTCCAGGCTGAGATTGTTGATGGTGATGCCTTTGGTCTCGGCGAGGTGGACGGCCTTGCCAGCAGCGATGTGGGCTTGTCTGAAGGGCATCTGCAGGGGGAAGCAGAGGTGGTACTCAGTGACCAGGCAGCTGGGCTGCTTTTCCATGAGGAAAATGGATGTGCTGCTTTCTCAGCTGGCCTTTTTTCCCTTAGAGCAATGCAAGCTGAATCTGGCAGTGCTGGGGTGGAAGAGGGGAGGATTTAGGAATAACGATGATGATCAATGAAGAGGATTTAAGGATTTAGGAATAACGATGATCAAGTAATTTGGGTGTAAATTACTATGAAGTCTCCCAGGTAGCACTGCTTGAGATGCATGTAAAGGATGTGTTTCCAGCTTTCGTGGTTGTTTACTGCTCATCACCATGGAGCCTCATCCCAGCTCCTCACTGAGCAGTTCTGTATCCAAAGAAATCCTAGCTCCAGCTTTCCCTCTGGCACTTACTCCTTTGTGAACCAAGTAGAGAGCCAGGTCGGATGACAGGATCTCAGGGCTCAGTGCCTTCTCCATGTTCTCCTTGTTGATCTGCAGAAAGGAGGGGCAGAGGGAGATGTTATCTATCATCTGCTCCTCCTGGGGCACATTAGCTCTAACAGGGACCAAAATGAGCAGTGTGGGTGAGGCACTGAAGAATTTGCACTTCAGGACCAGTCTGGAGCCCTGTCCCCTATGTTACTCACAGAATGTGCTCCATGTTCAATACTTAAAAGATGAAGCTTTACCTGGAGGGTGGAAATCACTCCAGTGGCAACCTGGAGCACAGCATTCAGGGTGTCTACGACATCAAAGACAGCCTCCTTGTCCTCCTGTGTTGGAACAGTGATGGAAATGGCTCTGAGCCAGCCTGGTACAGCACAACAGGCTGAGCAGCCCAGGCAGCAGAGCAGGGATGGGATCCCAGAGGCTCCTGCCAAGGCACTCAGGGTGTCACCTGCAGCATCCCTCCCTCAGCCCCTATCCCAGCACACAGCCATGGGCTGTGCACAGAATTGGAGTGCTGGGACAGCTCAAGGGCAGAGGATGACTGTGTCTGCTCAGAGGTGCTGTGGAGAGGAGCAAGGGCTCTACCTGCAGGTCCTTGTTGTAGGTGCTCGGGAGTCCTTTGAGGACCATCAGAATTGCAGCCAGCTGCAGAGGGAACAGGAGAGGCAGGGAGTGAGGTACAGAGCAAAGCACAGCCCCAGGGCAGCTCCAGAACCCACAGCTCTTTCCAAAGAAAAGGCAAGAAGAAGGAGATTCTCCAGCCCCAAGAGGAGCAGTTTCCTCTCCCTCCTCCTCCTCCTTTTTGGGGCTCACCCGTCCGAACACTCGCCCGGCTTTGCTGCGGATCAGCTCCAGACTGTCGGGATTCTTCTTCTGAGGCATCAGGCTGCTGCCAGAGCTGCAGAGAAGGTGTGTGGAGTGCACTGGTGAGCAAAACCCTCTTGCTGAAATCCCAGTTCCTGCCCTCTGAAAGGAACTTCTAAATCCCCTTTCCTAGTACTCCTCTTTAGGGTGTAGGAAATCAGTGAACTGAGGGTGCCGAGTTTCTCCTGCTTCCCACAGCAAAGCCTTTGGTTTTGCACCTTGTCTGGAGCTCCCACACAGTCCCATCTCTCACAGAGGAAGGAAAAGGAGGCTCCCCTCCAAGCCACTGCAAAGGTGGTGTCATCAGGCTAGACTAAGTGATCTCAGGGAGGGAGGGCTGTGGCTGTGCCACCCTGCAGACAAGGAGTCTGTTGGGATTGCAAACCCAGCCACGCAAGGAAGGGCTCTGGCAGCATTCCCAGCACAGGAGGAAGTTCTCTCTGCCAGCAGATCCTGGACAGGAGTTGTTGGTGAATGCAAACTTGGTTAAGTTACAAGAATGACAAATAAGTGACCATTGCTGAGGAATATTCACCCTGAGGCTGCCTTTGTGCCAGGCTCTTGATGCTGGCTCAGCCTCGTGCACAGACAGACCCCAACCACTGCCTCACCCAGCATGGGGAGCTGAGGAAAATCCCTAACTTGAGACCAAAAACCTACCAGTAGGTATCAGAGAGGGTGAGGAAGCCAAACTCGCTGGTGCTGTAGATGATGAGATCCTCAGCCATCTTGCTGAGGTGGATCATCAGCAGGGTGGCAGCAGAGAGGAATTCCACTGCAGGGAAGGCAGGAAGTCAGGAGGGGAAAAGGTGCTTGGACAACCCAGGGAGCCCTGAGTGGGGCTTTAGTTCCTAGTGATGGATGTCAGATCCTTATTAAGGAAGGGTGACTGCAAAGGTGTCAGGAGCTGCTTTCCCCCTGTGCTGGGAAGCTTTGGCTGTGCTTACCCACAAAGTCCCTCTCGCTGACGGCATCCATGCTGTTCAGGCTGATGGAAGCAAAGTCCAGCTCTGCAAGGAAGGGGATGGACA